TAATGGATTTAATTATTAATCCAATAATTTCTAACTTATTTGTTTGGATAGAGAATGAGAAAATATTTGTATTTGTTTTATAAAAAATACTAAATTATTTGTATTTTTGTTTTATGACAAAAAGAGAATGTGTTAAAAATAATTCCAAACATGATTATTTTTTGAAAGTAGAAAATAATTTTATAAAACAAATATAAACATTTTGTAATTCTCTATCCAAACAAATACATTCGAATTTAATGGACTAATAATTAAATCCATTATTAGTTATTTAATAATTAAACAAATTAGAATTTTACTTATTTAATTATATAATCTTAAATTTAAAATTTTCTCTTGTTCTCTAATAAAATTAAACAATTTATATTTAAAAAGAAAATAAATTAATTATATTTACCCAAAAACTAAAATCAAGTTTGACATATTCGGATTAAAATTTATTAATTAATTTATGAAACAAATGAGTAAAATAATTAAAAAAGCTTTAAAAACATTGAATAGAGTAATAATAGAGAAAAGTAAAATTAAATTTTTTTTTTAAATTTTCCAAGATATAAACTTCTAATTTTACCGTTAAATTTACAGTAGATAATAAACTTATGGTGCAAACTTTTATGGTAGGTGATAAACTTAAAGTACAAAATATCAAAATTATAATTTTAGAATACAAATGCCCAACACTCTATTTTTGGGTACAATCCACGAATTAGTCTTTCACGAAGGCCTCCACTACGGCTATAAATTGGCAACCTTACTTCCTTTAACTACCATAAAACAAAACCGTGCAACAAAAGTTTCTGTAAAGGGAAGATAATCAGCACCTAGGTTACTCAAAGATCAACAAGGGTGAGACCTTGGATAGCCACTGGATGAAGGAGGCTAATCATGATGCTGAGGAAAAGTACGTTGATGATGTTTAGGAAGAGAGGTCGTTACCCAAACACACTGTTAGTGTTTTCTTGATGCTTCAGTTTCTGAAGGCATCAAGAGTGTCTTCATAATCTTGTTAGTGATAATAGCAGTTCTGTTCCAGATAATGCCTCCCTCCCACACCCCCCCCCCCCCACCAAAAAATAAATAAATAAATAAATACTGTTCCGGAAACTGAATCTTGTGAGAATTTGCTAGAACTAACTTGAAACTCACGGGCAGAGGGGTATTCGTAGAGGTGAAATTTCTCCTGTGGAATTCGGATGTCAGCTTGTGCTTATTTCTTTCTTTCTTCCTTTCTTTTTTTTTTTTTTTTTTCATTTAACCTTTTTGGTTTATAATTAGGCTTTCTTCGTCTTAGGCTGTTATAGATGGTTGAATATGCCTGTTAATAAATCAAGATTCATAAACATAAAATTAGAATGGAGCAGTTTGGAAGTTCAGCTGCCTAAGCATGGCAGATACTAAAATAATATGGACTGAATTAAACGACCAAACAATATGACCAATTAGCATTAATAGGTATTATTCTGATGTCGTACAAATTCTCTCCTCTTCGCTCAAAAAGGGTCTAATAATCTTAATCAAAACTGTACAATACCCAAAACATAAAAATTAAAAAAAAAAGATGACTAACTAGTTTATTGGGTTTTTTTTTTCTTTTTTAGTATCTTGGAGCTGGAGAAGATCCAAATCCGACCAGAAAAAGTCTCGTTGACAAGGCATTCAACGGTAAAACAGCGAGAAAACACGAACGAGATTCTCCATACCAAAAAAAACCTAGCTGTCGAGGAAAATCAGTTGTTGCCACCAGTGGATCATCGGACAGCAGCCTTGCCTGCTTATTGAATTCTTTAAACCATCCCTGTTAACTCTTTCGAAACCATTCCCACCGACCAAAAAAAATGAAAAAAGAGAAAAACTGAGACTCAAGATTAAAAGCGTAAATGCAAGTTTTAGCATTAATATTTGTGGAAGCATCAAATTGCATTGTGGTTTGAGGGCTCCCAAGGAATTTTTTCAAATATATTTCATCAGTATTTCAAGCTTGTTGAACGCTTTGAATCCCTCTTGAACTCCTTCAAACCCCTTCCTCCAAAGAAAACAAAACGGAGACTCAAGATTAAAAGGGTGAAAGTATAATTTAGCAATAATATTTGTGGAACCATCATTAGGTGCTCTCAGCGAATTTTTGTAAATATAATTCATTAGCATTTCAAACTTATTGAATTATTTGAACTACTCCCTCCTCCAACAACAACAAAAAAAAAAAGAAAAAAAAAAGAGGAGGAAAAAAAAAACCCATACTCGATAGTGAAGAAATAAAAGCATAGTCTAGCGATAATATTTGTGGAAGCATCAAATTGCCTTGTGGCATTAGCGACTCCCATGGAATCTTTTGCAAATATATTTCATTGGTATTTTAAACTTAGTGAACTTTTTGAATCCCACAAAATGTGGGAAAAGAAAGAAAACCAAGACTTTGAAAGGGTAAAAGCATAATCTAGCAGTAACATTTGCGGAATCGTCAAATTGCCTTGTAGCGTTAGGTCTCTTAAGGAATTTTTGCAAATATAATTGATTGCTATTTCAAGCTTATTGAACTGTTAGATCCAGCCTACTGAAACTAACCTAACCCCACCTCTTAAAAAAAAGAAAAGAAAAAAAAGGAAGAAAACTCTCTCCTTTCCTTCTTTCTGCAGGTTGGAGTTGACTTGACTTGCATAGCCCTTTTATTTGTCTGTGCCCGCGCAAAGAGGAAGAATAACGAGTATGGAGCCAAGTATACCCTGAAGGCCATCCACGTGTACACATGGATGGTGAAGCAAATCCAAGGTGTACGGGTTGATTGTTTGCTGGAACCAAATTCTTTCGACGGTGACGCTGAAAGCAAATTCTTTGATGGTGACACTGGAAGAGTAAAGTAAATTAAGCATTCTTCGTAGAGACAACCACACTTCGCTTGATAGTGACCCGAAGGGTGACGATGGGACAGGAGGAAAGAAAATTCAAAACCCCTTCATAAATGCCTCACTCCGTCTATAATAGGCAACCTTACTTTCCTTCTTCATAAAACAAAACCATGTCTTTCTTCTTGATCTCAGATACCTGATCCCACCCTTACAAGCCTGCTCCTTCAATCCCAAACCGAGCCTAATTTGATTTTGGGCCTACATGAAAATCCCCCTTCTTTCTCTTTATGGCTATTGCTGTGCTTCTTTTTCTCCTCCTATCAGTCAAGCTCGCGCTTAACATGATCGTCACTGCCGATTCAATTCGCGTGCAAGTTGGAGATTTCTCCGTTCCTTTGGCTATGTCATTACTCTGCTCAATATTTCTTTCAAGAAAAACATTCTGGATTCTGTACACACTAATCCTGTGCGCGTTACCCTGGCATGATTCAATTCTTAGCTTACTCGTTCGGCTTCTCGTTGGCTTCGTATTCCCACTCTTCAATTCCCACCACTCAACATCATTTGCAGCCTTCAGCGGCAACAAAATCATCCTCAAGCTGAAGTTGAAGTTGAAGATGTTGAGATGGGATGCTCTCCATCGTAGGAGGAGCAAGGAAGCTTGGAGTTTGGAGTTGGTAGCTGTTTAGCCCCTTTTCCCGCACAAGTCGTTGTTAGTGAACGTTTGGCACCTTGCTTTTATTTTATTTTTATTCTTTTTGAAGATGTTGTGCCTGTTTTGTTGCGGCTTTCGAAGTCGTACCGAATAAGTTCTATTCATTTGTCCGGGAAATAAAATTTAGTACACTGAGTCGTGGTTGCTTAATTTGCTCTAATAATTCGTTCGACATGCACCTGCTTCTCCATAACAAAATTAGGTATGTCATATGATTTAATGGAGAAAAAAAATGAAGAGAGAGAGTTACATTATACATTTCGGAGTTAATTTTAATAAAAAAAATACTTGTGGTAAAAAGAAAAATAAAAGGAGAAAGAAGGAAGTCTTTTTATGTAGCAGATTCGGAGAAAGAAAACTATACAGAAAATAATGGTATTAAGTTATTAAACCCTCGGGCTTTTGGAAAATTTCTCTTTTTTCACTAATTTGAATTTTTTTTTTATTATTTATGGTTTTTTAGAGCCCTTAGTTTTTATTTATTTTATTTTTTCTGAAGACCCCACCTTCCTCGTTGTTTTCTCCGACAAAGTCACGTGATACCACGTGCGCCTTTATTTCAATCTGATGATGGCCAATCTGCGGCATTTAAAACGACTTTAGCGACGCTTTCCGGTTGTAGGGGGCGAAGGGCGAGGGGTTGTCATCTCATTTGCTCATCAATTCGCAAGTTAGACAGAGAAACTAGAGAGAGAGATGCAGGAGGAGACAACGATCAAGGGAGCTCTAAGCAGTGAAGCCATGGAAGCCATCTCGGAGAGGCTCTCTGAGCTCGAGATCTCTATTTCCCTCGCGCCCTCCGGCCTGCCGCCAGCACTCCCTCCAGCGCAAATCCCTTCTACTCGACCTCCTCTCCCGCGACGTCGCCGTCTTCTTAGGTGCTTCTCTTTTAAATACATATGTATTTATCTGCTCATATATGTACGTAAACATAAATTTTACGCAGAAACTCGCACTAAAGCTTAGAACTATAATTTTTGCTGGATCCGTCCATATAGCAAGGGTGCGGGAAAGAATTGAGTTCTAGGAGGTTTAAGAGTTCGATCTGATGAAATAAGATTATGAATTCAACTGTATTTAAATCATTTGGGAGCTTAATTAGGCCAGAGAATGGGAAAACAGAGAACTGTCAAGTAGTTTAGTATAAATATATAAAGAGACTCGCATGAAACCTTATAGCTAAATTGGTTGGCGGATTTCTGGATTCAGAAGGGTATGGAAAAGAATTGACATGCGAGGAGCTTAAAGAATTCAATGCAATGAAGGAGGATTATGAAATCAATTGGCATTTAAATCGCTTCTGGAACTTAATTAGCCCCACTGCTGAGTAATTGAGATCAAGGTCTGCGAAGATCAAGAACTGGAGGCTTACGTACATGGACAGATTGATGAATGACGGCCAGGACTTCTCAGAGGATGAGAGAGAGCGCCATACTTGCACCATGAGTATGCAGGGAAGTTTCAGGATCCTAGCAGGAGGAGCATGGCGAGGCCAGGCCAGGGGAGCGATGGTGGGAGACACTGATGAGGCGGTCAGTGGAGGCCATGTTGGTGTAGAAGATTAGAGGGGAGCAGCAGAGGCTTTGAGTGGCTCAGAGGAATTGGGATGGAAATGGGACGGAACAACAAGAAGAACTAGAGGAGGAGCAGGAACAGGAGAAAAAGATGGGAACTCCCATCATTCCAAGGTAAATTTGGGGAGGAACCTGGCACTTTTTGTAGGCATTAATAATTGCAGTTTCTATTGTCAATGATGTTTGTAGTTAGTGCATTGTTGTCTTTTGCTATTGTTTGCTATGATTTCTGCTAATTTCTAACTATGATCTTTCACTTAATCTAGCTCTTTAATCAGAAGCCTGCTCCATTTTGTATTTTTGTTTTCTTATTACCAACGGATGGAGTCTTTCATGTTTCACTTCTTCAGTTCAGGTTTTATAACTAGTGGAATATTTCTTTGCTTCAACTTTACTATGGAACCCAGAGTTGTTGAGAGAAAGGAAATATAAGTTAAATTTTTATTTCTAATAATTTTCCCAGAAGTGGCTTTTTGATAGAAATTAATTTTTTCCTCATTTTCCTAGTTGACTGGAAACCATCAGGAAGTTTTAATTTCTCAATAATTTGTTTTATTCTCTAGTTTTGTTTTCTTATCTGTCTTTGAGGTATCTGAGTTTCAAATGTAATATTAAACTTCATATAGATGTAGACAATAGATCTTATTAATGGTTTTTTTGGCATGGGTTTAAATTGTGAACTACAGCCATCAATAGTCGTGATTGTCAGTTCATCAATATTTAACAATGGCAATTGGCACGAATTTTTCATATGCAGCTGAGAAATAAGCTGTGTGAGGCTCTGGAGGTTGTGCTATGAAACTCACTATAACTGATCTATGTTGAAGGCTTGTTTGTGTGAGATTTTGATGGCTGTCCTATGAAATACACCATCACAGTCCCTGCCATCTCCAGTTAAATTATAGTCTTACTGCAAATGTCCAGTGCATCTAAGAGATATGAAGATGTGTATGTGAAAGTGGGTATGGCCACTTGAAAACATCTTAATTATTTGAAATATTTTATGTTAACTAATTCTATAATCCTAAGAATATTACAACAAGGGGAGTCCACCTAGAACATGAATGGTTATGTGGAGACGGTGCCTTTCCTGGTTGCATTTCAAGTTTGTTATCAAGTAACTCCAGTAAGTGAGCAAATGCTCAGACCAGCTCAAATCTCAAGCTCCTGCTGGTGCCATATTGGCCTCGGTGCCTTCATGTCACAAGTTTGTAGTCTATATCCCTCAACCAGAGCATAAGTTAATCAATATTAAAAAATAAGAGTTCCTATGCTGCATGTTCAAAGAACATGTGATACTTTCTTATGAAACATAAATTCCTTCCATGTGTTGCACAATCGACATCAGCCTCCGGAAATGGATGGCACTGCAAGAAAGAAATGATAAGACACATGCCATGCCATTACGATTGGCCACCTGGCCTCTACTGTCATGATCCCTTATACAACCCTCTTAGAGGACACCATTTGTCAAGATAAGTGGAATCACTGCCAGTTTCACATCAGAGCCTTTCTCTTTCTCTCTACTGTTGCTCTACTAATCCGATGATGATACCTGGTATTCCAGCATGGTTGGCTGGAGTTCTTTTTTTCCCCAGACTAACAAGGGCGCCTACCAGCTCAAAAATACTCACCAACAATATCAAATCTGATTGTCTGCCATTTCAAATCATATTACCGTTTCATCCAGTATGGTTGGCTGGATCTGTTTGAACAGATTACAAGCATTGGTGTATATAAGCTAATAGTTAACTAACATAAATCTATCAAGTATTTTGCTTAATATCTATCAACTTGAATCCCTGCCCCCCCCCCCCCCCCCCCCTCCCAAAAAAAAAGAAAAAAGAAAAAGACAAAAAAAAGAAACATTAAACAAGTAAAAGCATAATCTAGCAATAATATACGTGGAAGCATCAAATTGCCTTGTGGCATCAGCGGATTCCAATATATTTCAATAATATTTCTGCGGGGCCCGGAGGGGTTCTGTAGAAATCTAGGTACCCAGAGCTGTTCTGGGTGCATTCTACTGTAGAAGGGTTTTATAAAAGGCTAAGATCAAATCCGTCTAAACCCTCCGCGGGCCCAGAAGGGTCTTGTTGAAAGCTTTCCCCAGAAGGGTTCTGGGTGCATTCTACTGTAGAAGGGTTTTGTAAAAGGCTAGGATCAAATCCGTCTAACTTTCCCGCGGGCCCAGAAGGGTCCGGTTGAAAGCCTTGTTTCAATAATATTTCTGCGGGGCCAGGGGGGTTTTTGTAGAAATCTAGATACCCCAGAAGAGTTCGGGGTGCATCCTACTGTAGAAAGGTTTTGAAAAAGGCCAGCCGCATTTTACTGTAGGAGAGTTTTGAAAAAGGCTAGGATGTTGATCCTAGTTTTTTTCAAAAGGCTAGGATGTTAATCCTAGCCTTTGAAAACGGCTAGTGCATTTTACTGTAGAAGAGTTTTGAAAAAGGATAAGATCAACATCCTAGCCTTTTGAAAAAACCCTAGGATCAGTATCCCAGCCTTTTCAAAACTCTTCTACAGTAGAATGAACCCAAAATAACGAGCAATTGGCTTGTGCTTGTCAACGCGTACCTTGGAGATTGGATGTGTCGCGAGTACAAAGGAGAGCAAATAAAGCGAGTTTGATGCTGTATGTCATCCCAACGCGGCAGCGCCAACCAGACCCGCCCGCAAATGATGAGATAAATTTTTCTTCGGCAGACCCAAAGTATAAATTTGGTTAGTTGAAATTCAGTAAAAGCGGGCCGGGGGGGAGGCGAATATCGGGCAAAAAGTCGAGCTAAGCTGTGCTTTTCGGCCCTTGCATACGGGACATTGCTCATCTATAAAAGAGGCCCCTTTCATCCCTTCATACTCGCCATTCCTCATCTATAATAATTAGCCAATTCTATTCCCCTTAACGACCATAAAACAAAACAATGTCCTACCTTGTTGATCTCAGATATTTCATCCCACCCTTACTAGCCTCATCCTCCAATCCACGCTGAGCCTAATTTGATTTTAAGCCTGTACGAGAATCGCCCCTTCTTTCTCTTTATAGCCATTGTTGTACTTCTCTTTCTCCTCGTATCAGTCAAGCTCGTGCTCAACATGACCATCACGGCCAATACAATTCGCATGCAAGTTGGAGAGTTCTCTGCTGCTCTGGCTGCATCATTACTCTGCTCAATCTTTTTTCCAGGAAAAACTTTCTGGATTCTGTACGCATTCATCATGGCATTTCACCCTGGCATGATTCCATTCTGAGCTTACTCAACCGAGCTTCTCGCTGGCTTCGTATTCCCACCCTTCAGTTTCCACCCCTCAACATAATTTTCATCCTTCAGCAACAACAACATCCACCTGAAGCTGAAGCTGAAGTTGAAGTTGAAGATGTTGAGATGGATGTTATCCATCGTTGGAGCAAGAAAGCTTCGAGTAGTAGTTGGAAGCTGTTTAGCTTTTTTCCTGCACGAGCTTTTTAATTAACTTTTGGCAGCTTTCTTTAATTTTAGGGACAAATACCAAGCCGGACGGGTCAATAATTTTAATGACATCAAGTCTCAAAATGTGAAATATTTTATTTGAAAAAAAAACTCAATTAAAAATATTTTATATTTTTAAAATATCTCTATTGTTATATAAATACTCATGCTTGTAACTATTACAATTAAAAATATGATTTACGTAATTATAAATATGTATATACATAATTATAATAACAAGTGTATTTTAAAATAAAAAATATTCTTAAGTATAATATTTTTCTTATGACCCAAAATATAATATTTTATATTTTAATATCGAATGTCGTTAAAATTATCCAGTTGTCCTGTTTGGTAATTTTTATTTTATTTTGTTTTTTAAATAATATTGTACTTAATTCATAGTGGTTTTCCGAGTTGTACCTAAGAATTTCTACTAATTTATGCAAGAAATAAACTTTATTGCACTGAATCAAGGTGGCTTAATTTGTTCTAATTAATTCCTTCGACATGCACCTGTTTCTCCGTGAACAACTTAGGTAAGTTAGAGGATTTAATGGGGGAAAAAAGAGAATTTTATTTTATTTTTCAGAACTAATTTTAATTAAAAAAACACCTTATGGTAAAAAAAAAAAAAAAAAAATTAAACTAGAAAGAAGAAATTTTTTCTATGGAGCAGATTTCGAGAAAGAAAACTATACAGAAAATAATGGTGTTATCCCTCAGGCTTTTGGAAATTTTTTCTTTTAAATATTTCCACTAATTTGATATTTTTTTCATTATTTATGGTTTTTTAGGGCCTTTATTTTTTATTTATTTTAATTTTTTTTGAAGACCCCACCTTCCTCCTCATTTTCTTCTCGAAAGTGAGGTGGTATCACGTGCACCTTTGTACGGGCGAAAACCCGATCGCCCAAGTGCGGCGCAAACCGACTCTTGCACTACGGAAGAAGCTCTGCGACAGAGGGACGAAGGCGTGGGGTTGTTTTCTCTTCGCTCTATCAAATAGAAAGTTAGAGAGAGAAACTAGAGAGACTGATATACAGGAGGAGACGACGATCAAGGGAGCTCTAAGCAGTTGAGCATGGACGCCATCTCGGAGAGGCTCTCTGAGCTCGAGAATCTCTATTTCCCTTGCGCCCTCCAGCCCTCCGCCAACACTCCCTCCCAGCGTAAATCCTCCTACTCGACCTCATCTCCCGCGACGTCTCAGTCTTTCTAGGTACTTGTCTTTAAATATATATGTATATATCTGCTCGCAAATGTACATAAAAAGAAATTTACGCACAAACTCACACTAAAGCTTGGGAGTATAATTTTGTGCATTTAGAAGGGTAAGGGAAAGAATTGAGTTCTCGGAGATTTAAGAGTTCGATCTGATGAAATACGATTATGAATTCAACTGTATTTAAATCACTTGGGAGCTTAATTATGCCAAAGAATGGGAAAAAAAGGAGAACTTTTAAGTAGCTTAGAATAAATATATAAAGCGACTCACTTGAAACCTCATAGCTAAATTTGGCGGGTTTCTGGATTCAGAACGGTGCCGAGAAGAATTGACATGCGAGGAGCTAAAAGAATTCAATGCGATGAAGGAATATTATGAAATCAATTGGCATTTAAATCACTTGTGGAACTTAATTAGCCCCACTGTTGAGTAATTCAGATCAAGGTCTGCAAAGATCAAGAACTGGAGGCTTACGTACATGGACAGATTGATGAATGACGGGCAGGACTTCTCGGAGGATGAGAGAGAGCGCCATACTTGCAGCATGAGTATGCAGGGAAGTTTCGGGATCCTAGCTGGAGGAGCATGGCGAGCCAGGCCAGGGGAGCGATGGTGGGAGACACTGATGAGGCGGTCAGTGGAGGCCATGTTGGTGTAGAAGATTAGAGGGGAGCAGCAGAAGCTTTGAGTGGCTCAGAGGAATTGGGATGGAAATGGGACGGAACAACAAGAAGAACTAGAGGAGGAGCAGGAAGAGGAGAAAAAGATGGGAACTCCCATCATTCCAAGGTAAATTTGGGGAGGAACCTGGCACTTTTTGTAGGCATTTATAATTGCAGTTTCTATTGTCAATGATGTTTGTAGTAGTGCATTGTTGTCTTTTGCTATTGTCTGCTATGATTTCTGCTAATTTCTAACTATGATCTTTCACTTAATCTAGCTCTTTAATCAGAAGCCTGCTCCATTTTGTATTTTTGTTTTCTCATTACCAACGGATGGAGTCTTTCATGTTTCACTTCTTCAGTTCAGTTTTATAACTAGTGGAATATTCTTTGCTTCAACTTTACTATGGAACCCAGAGTTGTTGGGAGAAAGGAAATATAAGTTAAATTTTTATTTCTAATAATTTTCCATAAGTGGCTTTTTGATATAAATTAATTTTTTCCTCATTTTCCTAGTTGACTGGAAACCATCAAAAAGTTTTAATTTCTCAATGATTTGTTTTGTTCTCCAGTTTTGTTTTCTTATCTTTGTTTTTGACATATCTGAGTTTCAAATGTAATATTAAACTTCATAAAGATGTAGACAATAGATCTTATTAAGTTTATTTTATTTATTTATTTATTTATTTTTGCATGGGTTTAAATTGTGAACTAGAGCTGTCAATAGTCATGATTATTAGTTCATTAATATTTAACAATGGCAATGGGCACATATTTTTTATATGCAGCCGAGAAATAAGCTGTGTGAGGCTCTGTAGGTTGTGCTATGAAACTCACTATAAACAATCTATGTTGAATGCTTGTTTGTGTGAGAATTTGGAGGCTGTACTATGAAATACACCATAACAGTCCCCTGCCATCTCCAGTTAAATTGTTTGTCATTTCCTGCAAACATCTTACTAAATTCTAACAATATAGCATATTTATAAATGTAAAAACCTACATATTATAGTCTCTACCACAAATGTGCATCTAAGAGATATGAAGTTGTGTATGTGAAAGTGGGTATGCCACTTGAAAACATCTTAATTATTTGAAATATTTTATGTTAACTAATTCTATAATCCTAAGAATATCACAACAAGGGGAATCCACCTAAAACATGAATGCTTATGTGGAGACAGTGCCTTTCCTGGTTGCATTTCAAGTTTGTTATCAAGTGACTCCATTAAGTGAGCAAATGCTCAGACCAGCTCAAATCTCAACTTCCCGCAGGTGCCATACTGGCCTCTATTGCTTGCATGCCACAAGTTCATAGTCCATATCCATCAACTTCAGCATAATTTAATCAATATTAAAGAATAAGAGTTTCTATGCTGCATGTTCAAAGAACATGTGATACTTTCTTATGAAACATAAATTCCTTCTGTGTGTAGCACACTCCACATCAGCCTCTGGAAATGGATGACACTGTGAGAAAGAAATGATGGGACACATGCCATGCCATTAGGACTGACCACCTGGCCTCTACCATCACCATCCCTTGTAAATAGGAGGTCCAGCAACCCTCTTAGGGGACACCGTTTGTAAAGGTAAGTAGAACCACTGCCTGTTTCTCATCAGGGCCTTTCTCATTTCTTATTAGAGCCTTTCTCTTTCTCTCTAATATTGCTCTACTAATCTGATGATGATACCTGGTATGCTAGCATGGTTGGATGGACTTCTTTTTTCCCCAGACTGACAAGGTCACACCTACCAGCTCAAAAATACTCACCAATAATATCAAACCTGATTATCTGTCATTTTAAACCATATTACCGTTTCATCCCAGTATGGTTTGCTGAATCTGTTTGAACATATAACAAGCAGAGGTGTCTATAAGTTAATAGTTACCTGACATAAATCTATCAAGTATTTTGCTTCTACAGTTATGTTAGTGAGAGACGTGTTGTTGCATACATAATCCAGTTCTAAAAGTTCTTGTTTTCCATGATATGCAATACATGTTCGTTATGTGTTGTCTTCTTCTATGATTCAGGTGTGATGATACTTTTGATGTGTTCTAATTATATTTCCTTCAACTTATTTAGATGGTTTCAAATGAGCATGATGCATCAAGTAATGACTAATCCACCAATGTGAGGCAAACTGAAGCTGCAACCATATCTACAGAGGAGATGCAAGATCGAATGGACCAATTCACCCACATGATGCAGTGGAAGTTTCTGCCTGGGGAAGACCATCAGCACCTAGATTACTTGAAGATTGACAAGGATGAGACCTTGGATGACCACTGGATGAGGGAGGTTAATCATGATGCTGAGGAAAAGGACTTTGAAGATGTTCAGGAAGATGCTGTTACCCAACCACAATGCTAGTGTTTTCCACGGTTTGCTTGTGCTTGCTTCATTCTTTCTTTCTTTCTTTCTTTCTTTTTTTTTTTTTTTGTGTTTCCTTTTTTTCACAATTTGACTGGTATATATGGAAGCTGGAGAAGATTCAAATGCAACCTGGAAAAGCCATGTCGACAAGGCACTCCACGATAAAACAATTGGGAAACACGCACGAGATTCTCTGTACCAAAAACTAGATGTTGAGGTGAATCGGTTGTTGCTGCCGTTGGATGATTGGACAGGCAGCCGTCCTGTATCTACGGTTGAGACAATTTTTCCCCAAATTTGACTAAAAATGACGAAACTGGAGAGAGAGACAGCATGGCATAGCTCTCCCCCTCTTACCCGCCCCACGCCAAAACCTAGTCCCTCTCTTATTATGTTTCTGCCAACAATACCCCATTCTTTCTTTCCCAATAAAAAATAATCATTTTTACTTGCGTCCATCCAATTATCGTATGAAATTTAGGGCTTTAAGCTGTTTGTTAAGAGAGAGAAATGTATAGAGGAAGTTATGTATGTAAACGGGTCGGATTTAGATCAAATCAGGATAATTTGAATTTAATTATCAATGTGTATATTCGAATTCGACTCAAAATGTTATAGGATTTTTACTTGTTATTATCAAATTCGAATCCGATAAAAATCCGAAATTCGAATAAAAAATTTGATTCAAATAACTGTCAATAATAATTAAAATCAAATAATCAATAAGTAAAAATATGTAAAATTAAATAAATTATTATTTATGAATGATAAAAATTTATATAAGATTTATGTTTAATTATTTTATTTTTATTAAAATATAAATAAAATTTAAAAATAAATTATTATTGATGAATAATTAAGAAAAAAATTTGTTATATAATATATTACAAAAGTGATGAGAGGATTCTAATACTTTATAAAATTATCAAGTTTTATTTGTATTATAGTTAGAACTTAAAAAATTTTATAATTAATTTATTCAAGTGTTTTATGAAATTTCAAAAGTAATTAATTATTAAATATAATACTTATTTGAAAAACTAAAATTAGGAAAGTAGAATATTATAAATTAGTTTAGAAAAAATATATATTATTCTATTAAAAAAAATGTCTTACAAATACAAATTAGTACATTATTAATTATAATGTCATGTATATTATATTATATATAAAAGTATTTATTAATATATGTAATTATTAATTAAATAAAAATTATTATTAAAATATTCAGATTCGGATTTTTATTAGATCGAATTGCTTAATTTTATATCCAGTTCACTTATTTTAAATTACGGATATTTATAATTGAATTTAATCCATCGAATATTTTAATCGGTTAAATAGCCTAAAATTCAGATCAAATTCAAATTAAAATCTAATTTATTGACCGCCCTAGAGGAAGGGGAGGTGATGGATCAGGCTAGAGGTGGGGCATGTTGATCAGAAGCTGCTCAACGATGCCCTTCACAAGCACTTGGAGTGGTCTTCCACGTCCACTTCTAGGGCATTGGGCGGCAAGGACAAGGATTCATTGGCCCCGCACTTTATATTCTCTGGTGCCAAGCCACGCGGATGTCGGAGACTCCCGCATTGCATCTCTGGCTGACATGGATAGCTCAAATGGTCATTCCTCGTGTACATAGATGGCTCCGGCAAGTAGACAAGCATTGTACACCGTACAGGACCATGCTCCCGGGCAAAAGGTTACTATCATGTAATTAGACGTAGTTGATGGTAGAGGTATTTTCATGGTATTGACGGTAGTAAAATCTAGGAGAAAGGGGGAAAGAATATTCCTTTAGTAGACTCCATGTCACCGCTTCTTAGAAGGAAAGTGATCTGTAAATTCAATTTTGTACTATTTTCTGTGTTTACAACTATATTTTGATTGATCTTCAATCCGTGCAAGTAAACGAGGAGAGAAGAAAAGCTGTTTTCCAAAGACGTTACTTTTGTCAGGGATCAGTGAGGGTGGAAATCATAATGCATGCACAATTTGAACAAAATTCTACCCCTTTTCGAAGGATGTTGTAGAAAGTTTAGTGGGTGAGCTTTAGGGAAAACTAATCCTTTTAACCAGGCCCATTGGCAAACAATTCGCGACTTAAATAGTCAACAACTAAATGATTACGGCTTTAGACTTCTGCACTTCTTGCTTTGGCTTTTAAAACCAAACCCCAAATCAAAAGCATAGACGACAGGTCACCCATTCGGGCCCTTGTTTTCCTGGCAATTTGTCAGCCTTTCCTGGTGATGTGGCAAAACGCGGGATCCTCGTCCCCGATTGTCGCGTTTCTTCAAACATATTGAGATACAAGGCCGACATCTTAACTTCTTGAAGCGCGGACATTTTGTGCCATTTGAGCACTTTCTTGGAAACACCCGCAACTTTAGTCTACATGAAGCCTTGAGATTCGGTCGATTCTTTGCAGAATCAAAGAGTAAACATTTCTCAGATTCAGTCTGTCTGAACTGCTGTCTGTTGATCGGAATGCGCTACCTCGACTTAAGGTTCTTTGTGCTGGGACTGATCAGCCTCATTATCTTCTTTCCCTGAGAAAGCCCAGGCGCATGGGAAATTTGTGAGGCTATTTTGAATTTGAACTTGAGGGCCCTCTCCATCGCCCCTATGTTAGTCTTCCTGTTCCCTTCTGTCAAGCTTCCTCGTAGTGTTTCTGTCTCTGCTGAGGCCATTCGGGTGCAAGCTGGAGAGTCCTCGGATCCTTTGGCTGTCTCATTAGCTGCCACTTTCCTTCTGCCTCAACCTCACCTTTGGGTTGTTTATGCTTTAATCGTATCTCTCTCTCCTTGCTATGGTTTGATTAGGAATTTATTTGCACAATGTGGCTCCTGGCTTTGGGAAAACAAATAGACCTTTCCCGTGGTGTTCATCAGTTACATTTTCGGGAAGAACCAACAACGGCAAGAACCTTTTCAGGCTGGGTCTAACGGAGAATCAAAAGTTGAAGAACTTGATGACACAGATAACTCAATTTGAAATATCAAGTGGGTTTTAATCTCTACAACTCGTTTATAGTTCAAGCAGGTGTTATTTCCCTTCGAAGGAAGAATTCTATTCATGTGTTTTTTTTTTTGTTATACATTCTGCTCTGATTTCTTTTCATATCAGTAGATGTGGTACGTCATTTGGGTACTTGCATTGTCAGTAGCCTCCATTTTCTTCCCTGTGGTGCTCTTGCGGTATAACTGTGCATTTATCAAAGCTGGTCGTCTTCTTGTTAAAACATAAAATGCTATCAAAAATTGATCTCTGCCAACATATGAGATCTTTCTAAATTTTCCTTCAGCAATTGCTCCTCGTAGAACCGCCTAGTGATGAAACAGGGAACTGCCCAATTTACGGGCATCAAGCAAGTATTACTATTTTTCCCTACTAAGAAGGTTGTATCTATACATATGGAACTTGGAGGCTTTGAGGGAAGGCAGAAGGAAAAGCAAGATTTTGTTTTTACAATTTTCACATGTTCGTTCATAAAAATCTGGTTCCAAACTCGTGTGCTGATGGAGCCTGGCTTGAAAATGAAGGCAAAATTTAGTCCATCGATAAACCTACTGCGAATATCTTTTCAGTAATGTAAATTGCCTCAATGATTATGGGGTTGTTTGGTACTTGAATATTTGGACTCTTCTTCTAAGTTGAAAATGCTAGAAACTGGGATTTGAAAAATAAAAATTTCTTGCACTTCTTGCTTAATAAAAGCCAAGCCCGTTATGTGCACAGTTCACCCATTATCTGCAATCTTGTTCTGCTTTCTTCTATCAGTTTTGGTCTTCTTCTGCACCCTTTTAAGAAGCTTGAAGAACATCCTATATATTTGGGCTCTCCGTGGAACACCATGATCCTCTGAAAAATCATAAAATGGGACCAAATATGATAGATAATTAGAAAATGAGATCAGCTTAAAGATAATCGGAAACGACACTAAACATAGTCCTCTGTCTCTCTCTATCCACTTCCTCAGCTGCCGCCAAACCCCTCCATCTCTGGCCAACCCCCCCCCCCCGGCGACTCCCTCTTCTGAGTATTCCGACAACCGCGCACACCGGAATCACGACCAGTTCTGACAGCAATGCTAAAACCATGGCCATCGCACTGGCATGAATCCCATCTGATCAGAAAAGGAGGAGAGAAGCTGGAGAGCCCAAAACCATGTAGGCTGTCGAGATGAAGCGAATGAGCCAGACTACAAGCTCTCACATGGCTCGATTCTGCGAACCGCTGACCACCATAGTCGCTGCCTTGAGGCTCTTCGTCTGATTCCAAAACAACTTTTCTGATTCCTTCTGGTTCACTTTCACCTATGAACATAAGACCCAAAAATCAAAATTTCGACAACTGGTTCGTTGGTTCGGAGAATGAATGTTTTTGCTTCGCAATTACGAAGAAATAGATGACCCTCCAAAATTCTCCAATGCCCGTTCCTCGGGGACCCGAAAATTCAGTGGCTTTTGCCACGCCTAAGAATGGAGGGCTGGAGTCGGACAGAAAGGATGGTAGAGAATTTGATGACGAAAGAGCAAAGGTGGGGTGCGAGGAATTGGGTTTCCGCTTGGTCAATAGTGGCTCGGAAAGATTATTGAATTCTTTGAACCAACTACTATTGAACTCACTACTATTGGCTCTGTCGAACCCCCCCTCGCACTTAAAAAAAAAAAAGAAAAAGAAAAAGAAAAAACTGAGACTCGAGATTAAAAGAATAAAAGCATAATTTAGCAAAATATTTGTGAAATCATCAAATTGCATCCTGGTATTAGGAGCTTCCAAAGACTTTTTGCAAATATATTTCATTAGTGTTCCAAGTTTATTGAATTCTTCGAAATCCATTGAACTCCTTCACCCCCACCTTCCTCCAAAAAAAAAAAAAAAAAAAGTGGAGACTCAAGATTAAAAGAGTAGGACAATTTAGCCTATAATATTTGTGGAAGCATCGTTAGGTGCTCTCAAGGAATTTTTGTAAATATATTTTATTAGTATT